TCCACCAAATAGTATTTCGTACAAAACTCTTGTAGATGAAGATCTGTTCCTACTCTCAAGAATTTAGCAGCAGCTGCAGCATGAGCACATGGGATTTTGTCTATATCAAAACGCCTGCATGTGCACATTTTTCTTGCCAAATCAACCGTATAAATCTTTCCGTCACTACCATTGACATTGTACTCAAGGTGGAAGCTGTTTATCTCAACAATATCTAAACACCTCGCCTCCAAACATGTTTTTGCCAACTCCTTTTCCACTGTTGGCACAAACTTCTTTGTGAGTGGTATTTCAGCTGCCTTCTTCCTATGCTTGTTAAACCATTCAGTCATTTTCTTGATGATAACATCAATCATCGGTAGCATGAAGTATTTCCTGGCAACAAGAAGAACACCTTTAATGGATTCTGCTGCATTGGTTGTGTTAACATTGTATCTGTCTCCTTCAAAGTAACATCTTGCCCATTTGCTCACTTCAACACTTTTCTCCAGATACGCCGCAGCAGAAGGAAACCGATTGGAAAATTCAGCATATAGATCATCGAACTCAACCACTGTATAAGCATGTGCACACTCTGTAAATTTTTTTACGCAATCGTCTCTGTTGTTGAAAACATGTCCTTTGACATTTTGAGACAAATACCAGACACAATATCCAAGTGCGGCCGTTGGGAACACCTCACGTATTGACTTGATCAAGCCTTCATTTCTATCCGAAAGAAACACCAATTCGCTTTCATCTGATATCACTGACCTCAACTTATTCATAAACCACATCCAGCTTTCTTCTTTCTCACCATCAACTACACCGAATGAGATAGGGTAGTGGTGACGATCAGGATCTTGAGTCGTCGCAACAAGAAGAACTCCACCATAAACATGCTTAAGATGTGTTCCATCCACAATGATAACTTTCCTCATCGCTGCGAACCCTTCTATGGAAGCGCCAAATGCAAAAAATAGATACTTAAATCTTTTCGCCGCATCCACTTCAACATAACTTACAGAGTCAGGATTCTTCAACTTAAGCATGTACATGTAAGAGTGTATCATAGAAAAACTTTCTTCTGGAGTACCTCGGACTTCATTAGCTGCCATCCTTTTCCCTCTCCATGCTGTGGCATATGAGACATCAACACCAACCTTGTGGATAACCATACTGATCAGATATTTTGGTGTTGGTGTGTCATATCTACCGGGATATTCTTCACTCAAAACATATGCGATAATTTGTGGTGTGCCTCTCCTTTTATTTCTAAGGATACTTGTAGTTACCACTGTGCATGTATAAGACTTGACGTAAGTTCTAACCGTCCAAAGATCTGAATTCTTAAGCTTTACTACATACAAATACCACTTGCAACCTTCTTTGGCTCCACGATATTTTGCCAAAAATCTCCAAGTATCAGACTTAGCTGTATACTCAAAACCATTCTTATGCGCACCCCTCTGAACTAGAACTTGCATGTCTGTTTTAGTTCTGAATTCTTGACCCTTAAAAAAATTGAGACCATCATCCCATTCTTCTTTTACAACTGTTGTGGCTTCAGCTCCCGCTCCTGCAGCTTCAACTCTCGCTCTTGCAGCTTCAACTCCCATTCCGACTTATGTTCCTTCATACCTATGCTCTAAATCCTCATGCATCTCAAAGTCTTCATGTTATTCAGCTGTGTAAAGCGTGACCATGCCATCCATCTCATGATCCTGACCTGTTCCATCTTGCTCAGCTCCATCTTTCTCAGTCTCATCTTCCTCGGTCTCATCTTCCTCGTTCCAATCCTCCGTATCAGTATCCTCTCCATCAGAAAGACCAACATAGCTATCATCAGTTTCATCATCATCTCCTGAAAGCGACATACCACCATATGTATCATCCATGTCATTGCTGATCTCCACATGTAAAACACTTCTACATTGATCATGATTTACTTGCATGAGATAACCCAAAAACGTCTTCATCAGTTCAAATTTATGATGGTATGCTCGAATACAACACCATTGGAAAGTAACTAATCTTCAGCATCCCATCTCCATTTGCCTTAATCTTTCTGCATATACTATCAACCAATTCAGAATATGTAACCTCTTCCACAGATGTTTTCATCACTAGAGTGTGAATTTGATCTTCTCCCGAGATCCACTTTATCTCAGGCCCATACTTGATGTAACTTCCTCCATAGTCAAAACATATGACTGTAATGGGAGAAGCCATATAATTCCCTGAAAAAAATAAAACTATGATTAGTTAACCATTTACAGAATCTAAGTTGTATAAGATCTTTGGTACATAGTCGTTCTAGTAATACAAGTAATACAGGTTTCACTTTAGTAATATCAGTCGTTCCAGTAGTTCTTATAAATTTTTTCTTTTCTCTATTTAACACTTATAATTGATCATGAGGGTGTTATACAACCCACAATATCGTCTACCACTATTGTAATGCATTTTTATGGTTTAAAACAGTGCAAAATAAGAAGAAATATACAAAATCGCCCTTAAACATCCCTTTTCATAACAATATACCTAAAACTTCCATTTTTACCTAAAACTTTAGTTTTTCATCGGTTTAAGTCTTTTTAATCAACTAATAATGTGTTACACAACCCAAATTATCGTCTAACACAATTTTCATATTTTTCTTTCAAAACCGTGTTAAAAATAGAGAACAATACAAAATCTTCTTCAAACATTATTTTCATTTTTCTTTGAAAACTCTCACGATTTTTACAGCAAAATGTTGATATTTTCGTTTCCCATAATATATAAAACATAAGTAGTATATTATCATGAAAATTTCGTGAAAAATGTACCAACTTCCTTCAAAAAAACCTTCAAAATCGCCAATGGAGCTAAGAAGATGAGAAGAAAATCGTTTCTGGTTGGGGAAGAGGAAACAAGATGGGAGAAAGGAGACATGAGGCGACAGCTGTGGGAAGGAGAGAGGTGGATTGGTGTAGGGTTCGCCTGTTAGGTTTGATACTTTATGGGCGACATAATGGGAGAATAATGGGAGAAGAGAGAGAGAGAGAGGAGAGAGAAAAGTGGGATCTAATTGTGATTTTAATTTTAAAAAATAGAGTGGGTATAAGATATTAATATAATATTAAGGGTAATAAGGAGAATAAAAATAGGAAAGAGAATAGTGGGGCAACTAGAATTTTTGTGTGGCAAATAGAATACTTTTTTTACATGTGTGGCTATGGAGAATACTTTCCAGCTCAAATTGTGTTGGGAAGTTTGTGTTTGTCGGTGATCTGATTGCCATGTCACGTTTGGTTTAGGTTAACCGCGTACCAACAATACCAACCTCGTTGGGTATTTAACTTGTTTGGAAACATCCTTCTTAATTATTTATCTTGTTTCAGTTTTACTGTCTCATTTTTTTTGGTCAACCGCCTATTTAATCTAGATCAAGTGGTGGACAGACGAATGATTCTCCGATGAGCATCTCCATCTGACATGATCTGATCTATATGGAAAAATATATAGCTTCTAGTCCTTACTTCTTTTGTTAGCGTGTTCGCTCGACTATTCATATTCCGAAGAATATGAGACATGCTCACATCCTCAAAATTTTCATGTAATCTCTGGAACACTTCGATCTCTATTGTAAATGCCGGCCAATCCACCGGGTTTGTAGTCATGTCCACTAGATCCTAACAGTCCGTCTTAAACCGTATCAAAGTTATCCTCATGTCTCTCATACATGAGACTGCCCAAAGTAAATCTTTCATCTCAACATGCAAAGCTGAGAGGTTCCTTCAGCACGCCCGTAATCCAAAGAATTCAGAACCCATTTAATCCTTGAAACTCCACCCTAAGCCACTGACACTGCCATTATCGATCCATGACGCATCAATTTGATAGGTATGAATTCGGGGTATCCAAGGGGCACTATCTCGACCTCTGTAGAATGAGGGTGGTCATGTTCCTCATCTACTTCCTCCTTTTCATTAGCCTTCTTCCAAGATTCTGCCTTTAGAGACGCATGTTGTAGAGTGTCAATTGGGGATACGAATTTCCCATTAAAGAATTTATCCTTACTCGCCTTCCAAATGTACCAACAGATCCATGTGAAGGTATCAAACTGTGGTCTCAGTGGAACCACCTCTTTTCTCTCCCAAAACAGAAAGTTCATATTTTGGTATATAGATGTACTCGGGAAGTCACCCGGAAGGGACAGATAGTCCGATAAAGCCCAAACCTGCAGGCCGGAGGGCATTCAAAAAGAAGATGATTAATCGACTACACTGTGCCAGCATATCTAGGACAACTCCTATCGGTGTCCAGATGTCTATAATTGAACCTCTCTACTGTCGCCACACAGCCCGAGATAGCTTGCCACAAGAAATGCTTTATCTTACTTGGAATCTTTAACTTCCACACATGGCTCTGAAGACTCGTGATACTTGGTTCGAGAACTTCTTCATGTATAAGACTCCTCTTGTTCGATTGAAATAGCTCCTAGCCAGTTTTAACTGAATACACTCCTGATTTTGTGTGGTTCCAAATATATCCATCTAGAGCAAGAGAATGGGAAGGTTTTATCCCAAGTATTAAAGGGATATCATCTAGGTGAAAAAAATCTCGTAAAAGTTGTATATTCTATTACTTGGTATCATTCCTAATAAATGTCTAAACAGTAAGTTGAGATAGTCTATAAACAATATGCGACAAGTCTTAGGTGGTCGGACGACTCAGTCTAGAATCCAAGATTTACTCCAAATCCTCATATATTAACTTGTACCAATTGTTTTCCTTAAACCTGATATGAGTAGAGATTTTGCTGCTATGATACTACGCTACGTTATCCACATGGTTGTGAAAAACGACACGGTTTGTGCTTGCTGGTTTTGAAATAGCACAATAAGTGCTTGGGGAAAACTTTAACGGCACGTTGTTCTTCTGAGATGTAAAACGACAAGTTTTGTGCTCATAGGAAAACAAAAGGGCCCGATCTGTGCCAGTTAAAAATCGAAACGGCATGATATGTGCATCTGAGAAACTGAAACGGATAGGATGAAATATGAGCCCTTCATTATTCTGAACTCTGAAGAGATAACACTATACAAGTCTCAACTCTATCATCTTCTTCTTCAACAATCCACCAGAATTCAAAACCCTACTTCCATGGCGATACCATCTCCCGCCGCTTGTTCTTCTAGACTCATCACTTCCTACTCCACCCCTTCCCTTCCCCTCTCCCCCGCCTCCATTTCCACCTCCACCAAACTCAAAACCCTAACCCTCACCTCCTCCTTCCTCCCTCCACACTCATTCACCACCACCACCCTTTCCTCCACCAAATCCACCCGCCGCTCCTTCACAATCCGCGCCGCACGCGGCAAATTCGAGCGAAAAAAGCCACACGTCAACATCGGAACAATCGGACACGTAGACCACGGCAAAACCACCCTAACCGCCGCCCTCACCATGGCCCTCGCCTCCATGGGAAACTCCGTCGCCAAAAAATACGACGAGATCGACGCCGCGCCCGAAGAACGAGCCCGCGGCATCACAATCAACACCGCAACCGTCGAGTACGAGACCGAGAATCGCCACTACGCTCACGTGGACTGCCCCGGACACGCCGATTACGTCAAGAACATGATCACCGGAGCTGCGCAGATGGACGGAGCCATCCTCGTCGTCTCCGGCGCCGACGGACCTATGCCCCAGACCAAAGAGCATATCCTTCTCGCTAAGCAAGTCGGCGTTCCCGACATGGTCGTATTCTTGAACAAAGAGGATCAGGTGGATGACGCGGAGCTGTTGGAGCTGGTGGAGCTTGAGGTGCGTGAGCTTTTGTCCTCTTATGAGTTTAACGGTGATGATATCCCGATTATCTCCGGATCCGCGTTGTTAGCTGTAGAGACGCTTACTGAGAATCCTAATGTGAAACGTGGTGATAACAAATGGGTGGATAAGATTTACGAGCTTATGGATGCTGTTGATAGTTACATACCTATCCCTCAGAGACAGACTGAGTTGCCTTTCTTGCTGGCCGTTGAAGATGTCTTCTCTATCACCGGACGTGGGACTGTAGCTACAGGGAGGGTGGAGAGAGGGACTGTGAAGGTTGGAGAGACTGTGGATTTAGTGGGGTTGAGAGAGACTAGGAACTATACTGTTACTGGGGTTGAGATGTTTCAGAAGATTCTTGATGAGGCCTTGGCTGGTGATAATGTTGGGTTGTTGCTTAGGGGTATTCAGAAGGCTGATATTCAGAGGGGGATGGTTTTGGCTAAGCCTGGGAGTATTACTCCGCATACTAAGTTTGAGGCGATTGTGTATGTGTTGAAGAAGGAAGAAGGTGGGAGGCATTCTCCTTTCTTTGCTGGGTATAGGCCTCAGTTTTATATGAGGACGACGGATGTTACGGGGAAAGTGACCAAGATTATGAATGATAAAGATGAAGAGTCGAAGATGGTTATGCCGGGGGATAGGGTTAAGATTGTTGTGGAGCTTATTGTGCCTGTTGCTTGTGAGCAAGGGATGAGGTTTGCTATTAGAGAAGGTGGTAAGACTGTTGGTGCTGGTGTTATTCAGTCTATCATCGAATGATTGTTTGTAGCATCTATCTACTTGTTTTTTTTTGTTTTTGATTCTCGGAACTCTTTTGAGTTTTTACAGTCAAAATCAAAATGTCATATAGTTCTTGTTCTTGAATCGTTGTTTGCTGACTTTGAGTTGCAAGATTACGGACACCTTGGTTTGAAACAACTGTTCAGACAATGGAAAGATTACATTATCATCTCTACCATACCCGTGAATTACAAAAGTGATTATGATTGCAAATAACTTGAAAGAAGAAACTTGAAATGTGAAGAGATGATCGAGAAGAGGAAAGAGGAAAGAGGGAGTTCATGGATTGCGACCACCACCTCTGCCACTGGAAGATGGGCCTGTGTCGATCTGACCATTTGTTTGATAACTCATCATTCTCCTCCCTAACAAGACATTGTCATTGGTTTTAGTGGATGACAAACTTCTATATAAGTAATGCATCATATACGAGGATGATATAGTTTTATCATATATATGCTTACTGTAAGGGAACACTAACCAGCTCTTGGGAGTGATTCTTGTTTAGAAGCAAGAACAAGATTGTTGCCAAGAAGTAGAAGAAGCAGGAAGAACACAAAACCCAAAGGTGAAAAAACCTTTCTCATTTTACTCAAATATCTTATCTTATTTGGCCTCTTAGTTTTTCTATTTTTTGTATGTATATATAGAGGCTGATTAGAGGTGGGTTTAGTCTAATCAGACTTTTTTGTGAAAATTTTAATAAAGATTCGTATTACAAATTGGCGTGGTAAAGTATTATACACCACGAATCTCATGTGTCATCATCCTCCAACTTGATTCTTCAATGATGACTTCCTTATAATTTTCTGTCTTCATTTGATCTCTTTCTCTATTACGAGGCTTTGATTTAGACCCGTGAAGATAAAATCCAAGAAGACGCCTTTAACGTCAACGGCACAAGTTGTATGGATGATATTTATTTGCAAAGTTGATGATGTAAAAGATAAAATATGTTTTGATATAAACTTGAGATCTTGCTACATCAGTAGATATTATTATACAGATTTCTCATAATAGGAAGTAGGCTGCTTTCTTTTGGATGCATGGATGGATGATAGCTCAAATAGTTGAACAAAAAAAAAGGATGGATGATAGCTACAAAATAGGAAGTTTCATGTCTCTCAGATACGTCGAAGTGAAGCCAATCTCCTCTCTAGATCATCCACTTCAGTAGATCCTGAGCTGCAAGAAGTTAAAGAATGTATGAAATGAATGAATTATCTATATCCCAAAGAATCTTTATAGATCAAAGTAAATAAATTGTACATACTCATTCTTATTATTAACTGTGGTGGGAGCAGCGGCTTTTGTTGCAATCCGGCCCTTTGGAGCTGAAGATAACTGTTTACAAAGAATCAAGAAACATGATATTACTTGTAAACCATTGCGAATATTGTTCCTTGAAATTTTTTGCCTAACTAGTTTAAGAAAAACCAACCTGAGATGCGACACCAACACCAATCTCATCGAGCACCTATATAAAAACAAGGCAATACAACGAAATGAGCAAAATAGGAGAAGCTTGGAGAAAACTGAGGTTTGAGTGAAATTGCAGTGACTGAACCTGGTTAGTGAGATCTTCAGTTTCTTCTTCAGCTTCGTCTTTGTCAAGTGTTTCATCAATTGCCTCTGACATCATCTCTATCTGCAAACACACAAAACGCAAACATGACGCAAACAATCTTTGCGATCACAACAGGACTTAAAAAGTATCATGCTCTTAAGAAAACAAAAGAGATTTTGTTTTACCGTCATGTCCAGTTGTGCAGACTGCTTCTGGAACTCCTTAATCACCTTAGCTTGTTTCGTTGGTGCCATTTGCTGAAAATGTGAAAACAACAGAGCAAGACATGTTAAAAAAAAGAAGTGAGAGGGAATCCATCAAATTAGTAAATGATGAGGCAAAGTAGGATCATTACCTTGTTCATTGCAACCATGGCTGTGGTTGCACCTTTCATCCCTGATGAGATTGAGGTGCTTGCATACAAAGCCTATGTATCAAAACCAGCAAAGATAAGTTAATAATGGTATCAAAGCATGCGGAGATGAATGGGTGGAGAGATATAAGTAACCTAACCTGTGTATGGGTAGTAACACCCCGAATCTGAGCACGGCTTCCCTGCAGATTGGTGATCTGTTGCCTCAACCTAACAAGTTGCCGAGCTAAGATCTTTGTGGCAGCCTATGACAAAATGTTACAAACATAAGAAATGATAATTTCATGTACAAGAGAAGAATCTTATATATCCAGAAATGAACCAACGAGCTAGTAAACACTACAAAAGAAACTGTGAATATAACAACTGAATCCTCTGCAAGTTCGTCACAAGCCTAACCTCATTTCCAGTCTTAGCTGTTTTCTTGATTTCTGCCACAAGCCTCTTCTCCTGATCGCCATATTTGGTGGAACAGTAAAAATAACTAATGTAACAGCATTGCAGTGAATAAAATCAAATACAAAAGAAAAAGAAGATGTCCTTTTACCTCCAACTGAAGAGATGTAATTTCGCGTTCAATACCTGCAGAGATACATTGGTTAGATGAAAAAATATCAGCTAGCATCATATAATGCAACTACTCTAGTCATACTAAGGGAAGAAGCAAGAAAATGTCTATAAAGTAGTGAGAACTCAGCCAGCATCGGATAATGCAACTACTCTAATAAAGCTAGACTCTACAAAGACAAAGATCATCACAGAGACTCCACAACAACAAGGTCTATAAATGTAAAACAGGATCTCTCTACCACAGCTCCAAGACATCCCTCTGTTTATAGAGGCATAATTTGAACAGAGAAGAAGGCATACCTCGTGTAGCCACGGCCATTTCTCTCTTGCTGGTGCGAAGAGCATCTGCATAAGAAAATGATTTTCAATTATTTGAATAAAAAAAGAAGCAACGAAACAAGTATTGAATCAAGGTAGTAAATTATTAATTTAGCAAGAACACAGATTCACACTACATCGTCAGATAAAAGCAGAGTTGGGTAGATTTAAAGGTGACATTTTTGCAGGATTGTTACAAAACCCAGAAGATATCTCACTCCATACCGTCAGGTTTGAGGACTAAAAGTGACATTTTTGGAGAATCCTTACAAAACCCTAGAAACAATTACAGAGTATATAGCCGAAAATTGTGGAAGATCTAAAACGCTTTTTACCTTTGGGAGTGGTCTTCTTCTTGAATATGTTCATAGTTGTTATTGTCTTCTCTGAATCAAATCCCTAGTCCTTGTGCTTGCGGGGACAAAAACCTAGTTCCGTTCTAGATGGAAGTGAAGTTGATCTCTAGAGAGAGAGAAGAGTAGTGGAGAAAAGGTGTGACCTTTATTTTTCTCCTCTCTTTCTTTCTTTTCTGAGTATATTTTTTTTAAAAGTCATCAACGACAACGGCTCTAAAGAAATTGGCCGTTACACTAGAAAATACACATATCCATTTCTGGTATTTCATCTGATAATAGTGGATATATAAATGGTTGTTAAAAAAAAAGATAGTGGATATATATAAATAATTTTGAGTTTTTCAAAGTGGAATTGAATTTTTTTATTTCTCTAAGTCTACCCTGATTTGGAGGCAAAAGTAAAATATGAGTATGATTACTAAATTTAAAAATAAACTAATTTTATTCCACTCTGAAATTAAGAAAAATAACATGGGATTATATACTTTAATTTGTTAAGTATATAATCTCATAAGACTTAGAGTAAAATAATAAAGTAAAGTTAAAAATATATTTTTTAAAAACTAAAATTTGATCCATCATACATAATTTAGCTCTGTATGACTTTTTGATTTTAAATTTGTTTTGTAAATGATTAATCTTTCCAACAATCTGTCTAGTTACTTCATAGTTTATCATTGTTAATATTTTTTTCAAAACATTTTGTTTCCACAAAATTAAAGTAATATAATATGTCGATGTTTTAGAACATTTTTAATTCAATTTTTCCTATACAAAAAACGATTACAAGTTAAGAAAGAAGTCGTATATTTGGAACGGGCAGATTAATTATAAGCATATACTAGATTTTGATTCGCGCTTTTCAAGCGCGAAAATTTTTTTGATTAAAAATTTATATAATTGGGTTTTGTCCTAATTTAAAGAATGTTTTTATAAAATCAGTTCACCAAAATTTGTGGTGATGATTGTTATCCATTAGTTTTTAGTTTCCGTTTTTATTTTTAGATTTTGTTTTAGATTTTCGTTTTTAGTTTTTAAGTTTCTATTGTGGATTTTTTTGGTTTTGGTTTGGGTTTTTAATTTTTAGATCCACTGATTTAGTTTGAACTGATATTACCAATAAACAAATCCCAAATAATAGAACATTTAATTTAAAACTGAAAAGATGACAAATTTTTTTGCAGTAGTTTATTTGTAAATAAATAAAAGCAAAAAATATAACCTGCATTTTCAGTTTTTTAATTTGTTTTTGGATTTTAGTTTTTAGATTTGGTTTTTGGTTTTGGATTTTAGTTTTTAGATTTGGTTTTTGGTTTTCCTTTACATTTATTTTTTTAATCATTAAATTATCTAAGAAAAATAAAAAATTAAATTATTTAAAATTTAACATTGAAATTTATAAAAAAAAGTGATTGTTATTTAAAATAAAAAATACAGTACCATGTTTTAAAGTGCATGATTTAAATAAATGATTAATAATAGACAATTTTTTTTGTTAAAAATATTAAATATCTTTGGACCTGAAAATAATAATTGATTTTTTGATCCATTAGAGTAGAAAGTTTATTCAATATTTTTTTAGAGTTTTTCCTTAATACTAAGCCCAAAATCAAACCATATAATTTATCCTAAAAACCAAAGTAAACCCAAAACTATATTTCATAAATAACTATCTATTTACTTTAAGTAATGCAGTTTAATTAACTATATGACTTATATTATTTCTAACACTTTAGAAAGACTTCAAATTTAAATGACAACTTGTATTAGTAATATATTTTAATAGAGAAAAAAGCCAAAAGCGTGAATTTTCAAATTTAAGCCAAAAATGCTTGAACTTATGTTTAAGCCAAAAAAGCTCCAATCTTTTTTAAATAGTCAATTTAAATTCCAAACTTTATTGACTGGGACAAAACAGAAACCTGATTAAGTCCACGTTTAATTCATTGAACACCTGTTAATATACAAAACGACGTCGTTTTATATATATATTTTTTATCTTCTCTTCTTCTTCTTATCTTTCACGACATAAAAAATCTGCAAATCAAAATCCCAAATTGAAAACCCTAATTCTATAATCTCTTAATTCTCTAGTTCACACAAAAATAAACACATGACTAGTTCACACAAAAAGAAACACAAAGTGAAGCTGAAACAAACCAGTATTATAGTACTACACGCTAGTTGACACAAAAAGAAACACAAAAAGATAAACAACTTGATAAGAGAATAAAAACATAGAAACACACATACTAAATTCTTTCTTGGCCGGCCTCTTGGCCTTTTTGGAGCACTCTCAACTGCATCATTAGGACAAATTACCTTGTTATGACCTTCGACATGACAATTTGAACATGTGATGACTCTCCTATCTCGTGTCATCTTGGTAGCTTTGGATGAAGTTTCATTATGGCCTTTCTTCCTAGCATAGTTACTTGATCTTCCACGGTTCCCTACTCTAAATGGTGGTGGTAAAACTCCTAACCTGTTTAACTGAGGCCATAACTTCATACCTTCGACAGGTCTGATCCCACGGGTATATGTTTGTCGCCACTTCTGAGCTATGTAATAGCCAGAAACATAATCTTCTGTCCTAATCTTCTTGGCTCTAATAACACAACTAGCATGGATACAAGAGATTCCAGTGAGCTGCCACTTTATACACCCACATGTTTTGAGATCCATGTCCACACGATAAAAAACATTATGGTCATCAATCTCATGAACGTTCCCATAAGCAATATACCTTCTACATTCTTTAGCTTTCTCTTTGTTGAGTTCAATCTCAGTGTGCACCTTCTTAGTGAAATGTGTTTTCAACCTATTTGCAAGAATAACTCTCTTTGCGTGATGAACCATACATTGCCTCCTAATATCCTCTAGCATGTCTAGTAGTGGTTTTTTCCTTGCTTCCCTAATATTTTTATTGAAAGACTCATAGAGGTTATTGAGGTTGTTGTTGCAAAATGACCCAATTCTAAAGAATGCCCTACTCCATGTTCTCGGGTTCTGCAGTTGAAGAGTGTCCCATGCACCTTTGTTATATTTTTTTCAGTACCTCTCAAGCGCCTTCAAAATCTCCTATGGTGTAACAACCAGCTATTACCCAAAACATACGCTCTAACTCAGGATCCTTGCTGTCTCTTTTCCAATTTGACAATATGTGTCTTGCACACATTCGATGTTATGCTTCTGGTAGTTCATTTTTAACAGCATTCACAAAGCCCTGCATAAATTAATAAGTAGAGACATTCAATACATTTTTATTGAGAAAACATAATAAATTAAAATTCTAACCTTTTGTTTGTCTGAAATAATGGTGAATTTGGAACCATCTTCTAATCCCAAATGTTCCTTCAACAATCTCACAAACCACTCCCAGTTTATATTATTCTCGACCTCCACAACAGCCCAAGCGATTGGAACTATTCTATTATCACCATCTCTTCCAACAGCAGCCAATAAGTGTCCTTTTATATCCCATTTGAGAAAGGCTCCATCTAAACCAATGATGGGTCTACAAGTTTCAATCCAGGTCTCTCTTTGAGCTGTAAAACACATGTAAAGACGATCAAATCTCTGTTTGCTCCCAATCACAAGCCCTGGAACAGTCTCGATCTTCATAGTGGAGTACTGATTAGATTTTAGGATTTCAACTTGATAGTCTCATATTCAAGAAAAGTGAGCTTCATGGCTGGCTTTCCTTTCTCTATAAAGCTTAGCTTTGGCTTTTCCACACTGCTTTTCCGTGATAGTGAGATTATATTCTCTCTGAATCTCACTCGCCATCTCTGTCCTAGTAAATTTAGGATTTATTCTTAGTCTTTCCTCAAAGAGCATCGCAATAGAAGAAGTCTTCAACATCTTCGAGTATCCTAATCTAATGCAACAATGCTCATTCACAAATACTTTCACTTGCATCTTATGTCTTCTTCTTTCATATGAACAATAAATTCTCCAAGGACACTTAGACTCTACATCAGAGTATTTTGCACCAAGCGCCTTAGCGCAAGACTTATAGAGCTTGATATCATACCTTGATCGAAGAGAATACCTAAGCAAAGCCACTTTGAAATCTGATGCACATCCAAACGTTTTTCCCAAATACAAAAGCTCTTCACAACCAAGTGTATTTGCAACCTCTTCTCTATGCTTATACTCTTCTTCATCGTCATCAGATGACAATGGGTCTGGGATTTTCTCATCATCCCAAATATCATCTCCACTGTCTCCATCACTAACGTCACCGTTGTTGCTGCATCATCTCCAAAGTGAACGCTTAAATCCTCGACAACTTCTTCTTCGACAGCAATACCATTCCGATCACCCTCATTCTCACCATCATTATCACCTCCTTCACCACTTTCTTTCTCTGGCTCATCCGTAGTTTCTACAAGTTCTCTAACACTTGACCCTTCTGCTATCTCACTACGAAGAGCCCGAGCTAATCCCATCGTCCTAGCCATAAAGAGATTAGAGAATTAAGAGATTATAGAATTAGGGTTTTCAATTTGGGATTTTGATTTGCAGATTTTTTATGTCGTGAAAGATAAGAAGAAGAAGAGAAGATAAAAAAAGGAAGATATACAAAACGACGTCGTTTTGCAACTTAACAGACGTTTAATGAATTAAACGTGGATTTAATCAAGTTTCTGTTTTGGCCCAGTCAATGAAGTTTTGAATTTAAATCTTCTCTATTAAAAGAGAAGTACCAAATTTATCTACTATTTAGAAGTCATGTTGGACCGTGTTATTAATTACTTAATTGACATATTTTATTGTTACATTAACCAGTCAAATATATATGATTTTCAAAATATCTTAATAACTAATAAGAACATTAATAATAAATAAATTTAAATATAACAAAATCTGTTGAAAAAATCTAATAAGATCTTACCAAAAATTTTAAATATAATTTTTATAAAATAAATACTTATTTATTTCGTTATTAGATATGATTATACTTAAAACTAAAATATAAATCATATATTAAAAAATTTAGTTATATATTTATAAAATGAAAAATATATCCGCACGGATGTGCGGGTGAAACTCTAGTTGATTATTTAAAAAAGATTGGAGCTTTTTTTTTGGTTAAACATAAGTTCAAACTTTTTTTTTGTTTAAATTTGAAAGTTCACGTTTTTTTTTTACATTTTTTCTCTATTTTAATCGAGTAGAAGCGCGTTTCAAGACCGCGTTATTAACAGTAAAACCATTAGGTAGGTGTCAAGTAAAAACAAAAGCGTAGATTACCCAAAAAGAAACAAAAGCGTAAAGGTGAAATCGAAATCTATTGTCAATTTCTCAATTGGGATTGTTTTTCTTGCACACCGCTCTCTCGAGTTCGATTCCCCTTCCTTCCCCGATCGGTAGAATCAAGAACAAGATTTATTTTTCCTTTTTCTAAATTTTCATGAATATGTTGTATGCATTGTTTGAATTGAGTCATGTTAGCGTTATAATGTTCTCTTCTTTTTGAAGTAATTGTGAATTTTGATGCAGCAGATATGCAGCAGGACCAGCTGGTGTGTCACGGCTGTAGAAATACATTGCTCTATCCTAATCCTAGAGGAGCTACCAACGTTCGTTGTGCCTTATGTAACACTATCAACATGGTCCCTCTTCATCCTTCTCCTCATCATCCTCATGGTAGTAATATCATCCTTGAGTCTTTCAACAAGAATTTAGTAGGAAAATATTTGAAATTTTGCATTTATGACTTGGTTGAGTTCCTGAAGTCTGAACACACAGCTCATGCAGGGAGGGACATGGCTCACATTGTATGTGGTGGTTGTCGAACTATGCTTATGTATACCCGTGGGGCAAGTAGTGTCAGATGCTCTTGCTGTCAGACTGTCAACCTTGTCCCAGGTCCATTACCCATCTACGATCTGTCTTTCACACCTTTTTTTTGGGTTTCATCACCATTCTTCTGTTAGGTTACTTCCATAAATTCTTAAGATGATCTTTGTGGCCTATATAACTACTTGTTGGCGGCGGAATATAGCTTCATTTGATCATCATTTACATTGTCTCTTCTTAACTGATTTCTGTTCTTTCATCAGCATTTCTCTTTGCTTATTGGATTTTCTAGTGTTTAAGTTTGTTCTGTCTTCTGAAACTGTGCTTGGCTTTTATGTAATGGACAGCACCACCACCACCATCCAATCAGGTTGCGCATATCAACTGTGGGAACTGCTGGACGACACTCATGTATCCTTACCGTGCATCATCTGTTAAATGTGTTGTTTGCCAATTTGTTACTAACGTTAATGTGAGTACTCCTTTCACTTCTGCTTGGTTAAGTTAAGTTCCTAAAGATCTTTGTATTGTCATTTCATTTATTAGTTTATCTATTTCATCAGCAGATGGGCAATGGAAGGGTGCCTAACATGCCCAATGGAGCACCCTATCCAGGGACAATGCCATCTACAGCCATTGTGAGTTATCAAATTTAGGATCTTCTAATAGCTCTGGACATTTTAATGGAACTTGTTCATTGGTTTTCCAATTTTCCAGCAGTCAACACCACCGTCTAAGACACACACCGTTGTTGTAGAAAACCCAATGTCTGTTAATGAAAGTGGAAAGTTGGTGAGTATTACTATCCCATGTGTTGGTATGGCTTCTTATAGTCTTTCTTTTCTTTAGAAGGTTTGACAAAGGATTGAAACACACAAAATTGCAGGTGAGCACCGTTGTGGTTGGAGTGACAACATTCAAAAACTAACCCAAGAATGAGTGATCTGAAATAGATCATATCGATTTTGTCTATCTCTGCGTCTGGTCTGTGCATATTACATATATATCTCTTGACAACTTTTTAACCCAAGGAAAAGGCTTTATTTGAATCACTTATTTGAATTTTCTTTTGTTTTTTTTCTTATCAAAGTTGATGTACACAAAGGTTTAACTTTTGGTCCTGTGGTCTGGCATTTATGTTTGTAGACTTGTAAACTTCATTTGCCGTTCGTGGCATTGTTAAATGTATGTATTAATATAATCTGATACACCAACCAAAAAGCAAGACTTTGGTTTGAAAATCTGCTTCTTCTGTGCTTCATGAAACTTTAACATGACAAGAACTGATTTTAGCTTTGGTAGATTAGATAGGACTGCTCTTAAGGCAAGTCTTGAAATCTTGAAAACATTTTCACAACAACCAAAACCTAATTTAAATCACTTCAAGAACATTAGAGTTAGATGATCAGACAAAACCTTTAAACAAGACAACTATTTCCATATAAATATTCTTTTCACATTTGACAACAGAGATTCATTACTTTTCTCATTTGATCACTCACTGCATCAAACAATGCCTGGAGAGAAGATTCTGTTAGCTGGTGGTGGGACATCAAAGAGCTGGAAACTACTCTTGGCGCTGAGAATACTTGCATTCATTGCTACTTTAGCTGCAGCCATTGTAATGGGTTTGAACAAAGAGACAAAGACCTTGGTTGTAGCCACCATTGGTACTATTCCTATCAAAGCCACTTTGACAGCTAAGTTTCAGGACACACCTGCGTTCGTGTAAGCCCATGAACTTCTATATAGAACTCTATGTGTTGATTGTTACTACTATTAACTATGATTCTTGGTGAGAAATGTGTTACAGGTTCTTTGTTATAGCTAATGCAATGGTGAGCTTCCACAACTTGTTGATGATTGCTCTTCAGATTTTCAGCCGTAAACTGGAACACAAAGGTTTCCGTCTCCTCTCCGTAGCTATTCTTGACATGGTAACATGACCATTCTTGATTAAACCAGTCCGGTTTATTCCGGTTTTAAAAACTCCAATATGTGTTAATTATTGACTTGGTTTCTTGACTGCTTCAAAAAGCTAAACTCAACTCTGGTAGCTGCGGCTGCGAACGCGGCGGTGTTCATAGCGGAGCTTGGGAAGAACGGGAACAAGCACGCCAAGTGGAACAAAGTCTGCGACAGGTTTACCACTTACTGCGATCACGGCAGGGGAGCACTCATTGCCGCTTTCGCCGGAGTCATTCTTATGCTCCTCGTCTCCTCCGTCTCCATTTCCCGCCTATCAATCAACTCTAAGAAATCCTCCACCGCCGCGGCTGTTGCATCTCCGTAGTAACTGGCAGTCAAAAGTTGAACAGTGTGTATGTATGTATACTTATGTAAGCGTGTGTGTTGTCTCTCAAGTAACTATCATGTTGTCTATTGCACTGCTCTGTTTTGTCACTTTAATATAGAGACGACACTTCATTTCTCTCCTTTTATTACATTCTAGTATCATCAATTTGGCTGTTTTCATTTTAAATAAATGACACTTTTAACAAAGTAAACAGAATATAACAATGAGAACAATATACTGTAGACCTTTTACTCAAAATAACAATAATACAATGTACAGTAGATGACTGAATTAAGCTACCTCGGGATAACTACAGTTTTCTTACTCAATTACTTCTTCTAATTTTCTTCCAAATATAATTCTAACTAATTTGTTTACATTTAGATGAGATTATATAAAATAAAACACTATTCAATAAATCTAATCATTAGTCATAAATATTGATTTTTTTTTTAAAGTTGTACAATAAGGAGTACTACTATACAGAGTGAAAAATAAATTAAACATCTTAATTTTTTTGAGAAAATACCCAAGATAACACCAACCCAAGTTTTTTTCCCTAAACTAGCACCCAATGTCCAAAGTCACAAAAATAGGTTTCATTAAAAGAATGATTTACCTTTATGCCCTTTTATTTCTCTAATTATATATATTTTTTAAAAAAAATTTGAAATCATGAACGACGTTAGCTCGTTGTCTCGTCTCCAGCGTCGATCCTCTCTGGCATGAATCATCTCGACCATCGTCTCCGGCGTCGCTCGTCTCCGTCGCTCATCTCCGGTGACGCTCGTCTCTCATCTCCGCCGTAATCATCTCTGCTGAAAGTTTCAGAGATCTGTGAATCTCTCAAGTCTCTGTTGATCTACGATGGTGGTAACAAAGACAATTTAGTTCATTTCATAAACAATTCTAGATGCAATGATACTTTGAAGAGTTGGATTTGCGTTTATCTATGGATTTGATGGATGAGCATATCGTCTCTCTCACTGCGAATTCGAGGCAACTGCAATTTGAAGCATAGCGGATATTAACAAACTGTTTATGTATACAAGGTTGGTTTATTTTGTCGCACAAGAGTCAACCTTTGTGTGCACAGTCCATGATTTGGTTTTATTTAGCTTTAGTTGTTCCATCCATCTAAATTAGCTTATGAATACTATATGTCTGCTAGCTTTAACCGGTTGGGACGAGAAGCTGTGAAGACATATGCAGAAGAGATCATTGAGATGGCTGGTAAAACCTTCTTGTCTGAGCAGCAGAGACTAGTTCAAGAGAACATTCACCACCAAGTTGAAAACTTCTGCTCTTTGATGGATAAGATCCTTCTTCCTGAAGTTAACAAGAGATGATGGACTGTAAAAAAAACGGGAAAAATAAACCTTGAGGAGCTTAAACATGGACTTCATAAACTTTGACAGTAGCATATACCTGGTACTGATCTACAGATTTGATGGAAGCTGTAAAACAAAATTTCTATGTATAGTTTCCTTCACCAAGCAACATGTATTTAAAAGTGTTTTTTGTTTGTTTGTTTTTATGCAGGCTGATGTAGATGGAGACGGGACTTTAAATTATTGCGAGTTTGTGGCCGTCTCTCATCTTAAGAAGATGGCGAACGACGAACACTTGCATAAGGCGTTTAGCTTTTTTGACAAGAACCAGAGCGGTTACATAGAGATTAAGGAGCTGCAGGAGGCTTTAAATGATGAGGTGGATACTAGCAGTGAGGAGGTTGTTGCAGCCATCATGCAAGATGTTGACACCGACAAGGTAACACCCTAAAATATAAGTCTATAAAAAATGGAGACTTGTCTCAGCAATAAAAGTCTTGAATGATTTTTAAATGCAAAGCTAGTAGTTTGGATAATAGTAACAATTTTACAAGTCTTGTATCCTTTATGCTTGTTTGGTGATTATTAGGATGTAATAATAAGCTACAAAGAGTTTGCAGCGATGATGAAAGCTGGGACGGACTGGAGGAAAGCATCATGACAGTATTCGAGGGAAATGTTCAACAATTTGAGCCTAAAGTTAAGGAGAGATGGCTCATTGCAATTAGAAGACGAGACATGAGAAAAAATGGAGTCTCTTTCAAAAGCATAGTAAACTCTATGCTACATGCTATCCTAGATAAGACAACTTCATCTGATTCTTAGCAATATAGTGTATAAATTCTTATTTTGGCTAAACCCATTACATATACAATTCTTATTGTTTTTGTTTCAGGAAGGATTTATATAGTTTCGGGAAAGCTTTCCAGAAAATTTGGTGTTAACAAATTTTGAAATATTTATTAATTGGTTACGCATGATAGTAACACGACGAGAGTTTTATTACCTCTCAGACCAACACTACGTGAGCTGAAGTATTAGATTGTTTTTGTTTGTATGATTTCTTAGAATGTCAAAGATAGCTTTCCTAATCATCTAAATCTCAGTCCCACAAGTGCAGCATATGTGGCATACGAGGGAACAACAAGAGCACATTCCAGAGGCCTATAGAATGAAGTTTCCTATTCATCTTTTCTCTATTCTTTTTCATTTCCATGTTTTTTACATTTTTATTGATCATTTTCTGGATGTTGGTTATTTGATTGTTGGGGTTTTTGCAAATTTGACTCAAAACTCATGGTCAAACACAAAACTAACTTCTTCTTTTATCTCATCTTGTTTTTGTCCTATCCACCCCACATGTTCATTTTATTTACGAAAATGCCATTAAATTTTTTTTTTTACTTTTTTCGGAAATGGCCTTTTTACTCTCTCAACCTCATCATCTTCAAGTATTTACAACATTGCCATTGCCATGAATACTCCCAACAACCTTGTACAACCCAACAACCTTGTACAACCAAGGTTTGAAGCTTTTAATGCACTTAAAATCGATACTCATACTCTCTTTCTCAATTGTTATGAACTAAAAACAACATATCCTTCACTTTGTCTCCATATTCATGCCAAAAACCCAAGCTTTTTGATAGCAAATTTTTTATGGTTGATAGAGCCATTTAAGCATACAATTGTTGGTGGGTTACTTTCGTTCGATGTTCTGGGTGGTTGGAGAAGACTCTGTGTGCAAAGGAAGTCATCTCACATAGTTTAAGGTTTGAAATTGAATTTTTTCCAGATCTCTTCGCGTAGAAGACTTACCCGTAAGTCGTCTGGATGTAGAAGACTTACGGATAAGTCTTCTGGTCAAACGGACGACTTACTTCTAAGTCGTCCAGCTTTGTTTGTTAAAAAAAAAATCCAGACGACTTAATTATAAGTCGTCTAGATAAAACGGTCTACTTTTCCTTTTGACCGAATTGTGTCAGATATTTGACTTTTTCTGGACGACTTATAATTAAGTCGTCCCTGGGAAAGTTAAAATTTCAATATTTTATTAAATCTAGACGACTTAATTATAAGTCGTCTCAGGTTAGTTTTGCAATTCAAAAATAAAACTTAAATTTTTAACTTCTCCAGACGACTTAATTAAAAGTCGACCGCTCAGACGACTTAGATTAAAGTCGTCCAGGATAA